GGCCAAGAAAGAGGCAGGCAATGTTTGTATGAAAGCACCACCACTTTAATAAATACTCATATCTCAATTCTGGTCCAATGTACATTTTTGTTTATTTTTCTTTGAAAATATTACCTTAATCTCATTACAGCCATTTTCATGAGCTTGTTTGAGCGTGAAGAGGATACTTTGAACAAATTCGAGTCGCATTGCCTTAAAAATTTACAAAACAAATTACTGCAGACGTTAAATTTCTTATAAATAGTCCTTTGATCAATAATAAGTTAGTTACTCACCTGCCAGGAGAGTAATATTGCGCTTATAATCTTTCACATTGGATAATTAACCAAAATCTATGGTAAATTTCTAGCTATTGTTTCGACGACTTTGAAGGTATTACCAAATTCTTTGCTTTTAAACATAATAAACATGCTGCTCTCCAGATCTACGTCTCGCCCATGATTTTGTCGACTTCTTCCCAATCAATTTGACTTCTGGTACTGCCAGTACTCTCCGACATGTTTCCTACAGCCTCGTCAACTTCAGCCTGTAACGCAACAGGAAAACACCTTATCTTATAAGAAGACACCATCCTATTCCGTCACGTAATCCTATCGAAAGATTGCGTGACTAGCTATGTGAGAATTCTCGTAAAAGTAACGTCACACAAGTGAATAATTAAGGTAAAGTCTAACTTTTAGCATAGTGACCCATCCGGCCGGTGCTTATCTCCGGTTTCAATAGGATGAAACCGCGAGTACGAGTAATTCTTCCACCCCTTGATGGAATGCTAGTCCGTCGCTAGGTCCTCCCTTCTCCCGGCATTTAATTTGCCAGTATTTATGTATAGACCTGGCCACAGAGAAGCAATGTAAAGTAGTTTCTTGTCCAAAAAAAGGAAAACAAAACTAGCAAAAACCTTCTTAATCCTTGAGAACGAGACTAGACTGCCCGACTGTACATCGATACAACAACAATTCTATCACTCACCAAGAGCTGTGCAACATCGTCAGACGTGCGCATGCTCTGTCTTGTATTCCACGGGCTGACCTCATCATTAAACTCCGGCAACAGACTGCTGCTAGAAGGCACCGCAGGCTCAGGATGGCGATGCCTCTGGTCCTGACTACCTCTTGGTTGCCAATCATCTGAAAAATCAGAAATACATAAGGCACATTGATAAGAAGCTGATCAAACGAGGTATGACCATTACGGTTAAGGAGAGGAATGATCGTAAAATACACGGAAAATATACGCGACTCGACATTTTTAGTAAACACCACCATTTTGAATGATTCCTATACGGCAAGAAACCGCGAAGTCTGGGACCAATACCATCTTTGGGACACGTTCGTTAGGAGTTCGGAATCATCACGCAAATAGAAATCGTAGATACGGACATCCTTACAGATTTGGATTCACAAGCTTCTAATTACTAACCATGTTGCAAAACTAAATTCCAAATTGGGGGCTTTGTGGACTACTCTGCTATTCACAAGAATGAAATATTTACCTTTTCGTCTTGTGTTAAACAGACTGGATCGTTCTCTGGTTGGTCTGGCAGAACTGTCCCTTTGAGGCTAAAAAAGAATAACACCCTTACTCTGACGTTAACAATTAGGTGTTTACCCAGCAACTACGTTGTTATTCAACAGGAAATGTTTGCATGACATAAATAAGCTACAATCGCGGACAAAAGTCCTTGGGACACTTACGTAATGTAACGAATTATCTGTTTTTACAACTGAAGTTTGAAAAAAGCGCTGCTATCCTTTTAAAAACGCGTTGCTGACCCCCCTCCCCACCCAACACAATATTCAAAATCAGGTGAAATTGCAGGCACTAGTTTTCAACATTGTATGTGAGGTGGGGGGCGAGGTTAAGCAGGTGAAGTTGTATTCGTGTCTGGCGCGTGCGCAAAAGCACCAAAAGTGCAAATTTGTCCCAAGACTTTTGTCTAGGATTGTAGAACTCTTATATGTTTACCACAGCAATGATTGACTAATATTACTTGACCACTACCGTGAAGGAAGATTTAACACTTCTTTTAAAAGGTACGGAAAAGGCCACAAAATTTAGTATTTAGCTTGGTGAAACTCGGCGTGACAGGGGCGTGACAAGCAAAATGGCAAAATGAAATAGAGTATACCATATGACGTGACAAAAATGAAATATGGCATGACACGTGACAAGATTCGTGTCATCAAGCATGACAAGCAATGTGACTTCATAAAAAGACACGTGACAAGATGTGACACGAGACGTGACACTAGTCGTGACAGGAGACGTTGCATAAGGTGCAATACGAGTGTGTCAATGACATAGTTAGACGTGTTTCATGATACGAGATGTAACCTGCGTGACCTCCCCTATTTGTTGCTACCACGTGATAACACAATCTCTTACCTTACTGATAGCGCGCCAATCCACATCTGATAACAAGTCTCTTAGTTCATCATCCCCTTCTAACAAGCTTTCTATTCCTTCTAGGTTTTCTTGGTCAAAAGTAGAACCATCATCGGGAATATCCTCGAGCAGGCGATCTATTTCCGTTAAAGTCTCCCCTCCAGGGAGGAGAGAGTCAGTAGGCCGTGTCCTTTGGAATGTTCTCCCCATAGTAGTTGTGCCTTGAGGTTGCCGGGATAAGCCATACCCACCTAGAGTCATAGGTGGAGTTTTCCTCATGGCAGCCTCTCTAGCTCTAAATCGTTTAGGTTGTTCCTTCGTGAACTTCCGATATGTCTGTGTCGTTACAAACTCGGCGCCGGTCGGAGACTTCGAGCGCCAAAAGTCATCGTCGGGTAACTGGTTTTCTTTAATAAACTCACTGTGATCTTCATCGACATTTTTCCCTTGTGGTCTCCCTGAAGCATACCCAGTTGTAGAGACTGGACTGCTGGTTCTTATAATGTCGTGCCGAGGAGTATTTTGAGATCTAAATCCTATATTTTCACGTCCGTGTCTCGCGATATCATCGGAAAATGCCACATCTACAAGACCCTGTTTCTCGGGTAAAACATTTTCTTTTGTGTGAGCAGATTTTTCTACTTGCCGGTCCCGTTTGCCTTTAAGCGGAGCCTTAGGTAACTTTTTATTTCGTTCATTGGTTCTTTTCTTTTTTCCTGTAATCGATGTTGAGTGACGTGAGTTCAAGTTCCCTCCGTAACGAAGATTTGGTTTGGGCTCGGTGGGCTTGGGAACCGGCTCGGCCAGCATCTCGGAGAGGAGATTGGACGCGGACTCGAGCCTTTTCTGCTTATGCTGGTCTTCTGTTTTCCTTGGTAATTCAACAATAAAAAAATCGGATATCAGAGGGATTCCTCAGATCACAAATATAATTAGGGTAACGAAACACAGAAAAGTCTAGTTGCGTTACCTCTATAGCGTGACCTCTGCGTGATTGTGCCACAAAAGGTACGTTATACAAAATAGTCATTTAACCCAATACCTGCGTTTGACGCTTCTCTCTTTTTCCATCAGCTTCATCTTTTTAAAATTTGTGGAGCCCTGGAAATAAACGAATAAAAAACGCAAAAAGTTTAAACACACGAAGTGAAGTCTAGTTTGCGCATACTCGAAGCACACAACTAATGAAGCGACAAATTTGCCTGATTTCCTCCCCCACCTTCCCACCACTACAACCTTTGCTTAGAACCAATTAGTAGGAATTCCGTCTTTATCATAGTTAAAGTTAGTTTCTTGGCTGCAAGCCACACACGAATTCTCTCCAAATCAAGATTAATACAATTATTCATGTTATGAACATCACTACCAGCAAACGTAACACTAGTATCATCGGCGTACATGCTTGGTTGGGAATGCTGGACGCAATTAGGAAGATTATTTATACATAATAGAAATAAAAGGGGCCCAAGAACTAAGGATTACCAAGGATTACCAAGAATTTTGATTTCAGTTATGTAACTTATCGGTGAGGTTTTCTGTTTATAATATTTGTCTTTCAGTTTTAAGCTTGATTAAGCTCAAACTACACAAGTCTAAGAAGTAAAAAACATTTTTATACAAGAGAAATTAATACTTCGGTTAACTTTTAAACCTGGGTTAGCGTTAATTGGCTTTCGAAAAACTCGGCCCTGGGGTATTGGGTTATTAGGGTATTAGGGAATAGGGTTATTAGGGTTTTGGGTTTTTGGGTTATTGAGGTATTCGGGAATTACTCTTATACTTTAATATCCCAATACATGAATACCCCAATACCCTAATACCCTAATAGCCTATTAACCTAATACCCTAATAACCTAACGCCCTAACACTCGGGTTAAACTCTTTAAAAAGCTAGGAAGGACTTCACAATTTTCTCACTTTAAAACTCTTCTTACAGTTTATGAGATTAGAAAATGTTTATGTCCATATTTTGTCAGGGTTAAATCGTATATACCTTAACAGAAGTAGTTAAAATAAATGAAGTAAGACTCATAATTCTCCCTTACATTTCTTCTGTACTTTGTCTGTTTTTAGCCGAGTCGGTTTTTCGGTATATCACAAGAGAAATCTCCCGCGATTTTGAAAGACAACCTTTAATTATTTGTTAAATAACAGAGGAGGTTCGTAACTACCTGTGTGGGAGACATGAAGGGTTGGTGTTCCTGTGCTCGCAGTTCTTCCTGTTGGCCTCTCCATTCTGCTTGCCTTTCTGAACGTTTCTTGTTCATCCACTCTTTTAAGTACTGCCGGGCTTCAGGGCTGGGGTCCCTGCTGCATGCAGGGAAACAATGGATTTATTAGTAATCATAGATACGCAACGCGTGCAAAGTACCTATGTGAGATGTGGTCATTTCTACACATGTTAGGGTAATTATCTGACTTGATAAGCCGCACAATTTCAACGCTTCGAGTATCCCCGTGATATTAAGACCTTGGACTATCATTACAACTTCTCACAAGCTACTGCACTTCAAAAATAAATAGTAGGTTTTATAGTGGCATTTGTTCCCTGCCTAAAGAGAGTTCAGTCATGGAAGAATCGAGTTATCAACCAACCAACCCACCGAGTTCTTCGCACTTCTTTGTCTTGAAATATTTCTTTCAGCTCTTCTTGTGATAATGTTAAAGATTCCAATTGAGAAGCTTGAGGTTTTTCGCTCCTAAGGATAAGGAAAAAACACAAACAAACGTACGAGTGTCATATCAATGTCTTCATATTGTGTTACTAGGGGTAGACACTTAAGTTTCAGTGCTTCTCTCCAACCAGAAGTTTAAACCTCTTACTAACAGAGCTCTAGGTTCGTACTGTAAGTTACAGACGGAGATTTCCCCCTTCGACTTATGACCGAAGCATAAAGCGCGCGGGCCACGAATCGAAGGGGATAAAAAGTTAGGATCCGTGTATTACAGTAGAGACCGAGAAAACGAGGTTAGTAAGAAATACAAATATCTCTCCCGTATGTCGGACGGTTCAAGTCACGCGGAACGTCTTCAAATGACTGACGTACGTCAAAAGCAAAACGATAAATTACGCGACCAAAACAGCTTCAAATTTATAGCGGGCCGTACAGTAGAACCTAACCCGCTAAATTGACCAGTCACAGCGACCGTAGTAACTGAGAATTAAAATAAACATGGATACTAGTGGATTGTCAGGGTTACCTGCAAAGGTTTACCTCACTAGAAAAACATTTACCTTTCACGATCTTGTGTGAACGAGGGCGCCTTTTCTTCGCCAGCGGATGATTTCACTTCGGTTTCTGAAGAATCTTGCTTCTGTTTATGAGGCTGAACTTGATCAAAATATTTTTCTTCCCCCTCGCTAGAGGCGACTTTCATTTCTTCGTCCTCCTGGTCCTGTTCGAAGCTTCTGTCTCCGTCATGTTCATCTTTTTCGCTGTCAATCTGTTCTTCGACGTCTCCATTATCAGGTTCACCATCTTTGTTCTCTTCACCACCAGTTGCGGCGACTGCCTCGTCTTTTTCTGCGCGATCCACATCAACATCAATACTATCTTCTACGTCTGTTCGTAATAAAAATTTTAAAAAAATCATAACGTTATTTAGCAAGCGTATGTCTTCAGCAATTCGACATAGAGTATACCTTCTGTTTCCGGCAGCCTCGTGGTCGCTTGCCTTTCAGCCGACGTTTTCCCCCCTCTTCTCCATGGTGCGGGGTCCCCCCATCTCCGGGGCATTCCTCGACGGGACTCTCCGGATCCCCTTGAGGACGAAGCTCTTGATGAGGGGTTTAAGACTTCGTCAATACTCTGAATAGCAGAGAGAAGCTGGAAAATAAAAATAGATAAAACAGGCAGGGTTTTCATCGACTTGAAACACAGAAACACTCCGCTAAAGCCCCCCAGCCCTGGATTGTTTGATAAGGCTTACCACGCGAGAACTTTTGAACTCTCTGTCCATATTGTGCGTGATTTGATCCATGGCTTCAATTCTTTCACTCATCTCTTTCATTCTGTCATTCAAGAATTGTGTTGACACAGCTCGAGCACTGGACTGGGGGGCTGTCGGGAAGGGAAGCGGGTAAATCCTGGAAAAGAATCGAAGTTACTTCCAATTGTTTATTCTGCTGTACAAGGTGGTTCTATCTTTTCAGTCTATGAATGAAACTCTAGTGTGTGACCATTCAAATGAAAGCTATTGAGAAGCACTTTCATACGGCACTGTTTATTTATATGCTGTACAAGGTGATACTACGTCAGCAGAGAAAGAAGTTAAATCCATACACCTGACCTGGAGCGAAATCCGGAGGGTGGCACAAGATTGTTCACGTTGGAGAGAGACTGTGAAGGCCTTATGCGTCCCATGGAGCAATGAGTACTGAAGGTGATTGCGGATGAAACCCTAGTGTGTGACCATTCAAATGAAAGCTACTGAGCAGTACTTTCATGCGGTACTGTTTATTATACTGCACAAGGTGGTTCTAACAAAGTTCGTACTTTTGTACAGCTGGCTTGTGACTGACCTTTGTATAGGGACGTCCGTGGAGTCCATCATCTCAACTGTGACTCTGTCAGGTCCTTCCAGGTGTCTCTCGTGTTCTTGTTTGGCTCTCTCTTGTTCCACCTCTAGCTCGTAGTTTTGGCTATCTTCCGATGCTTGAGGAGAGAGATAGAGAGAGAGATCAATTTCTCCATTACCCCTTAGTTTTAGTTTCGATTGAAAAGCCACACAAAACTACGAGAAGTGTTTTATCACATTTGCAAACACTTCATATTTCGTCAAAAAACCCCCGCTCCGTGTCGTAGTTTCATCTCTCTTTTCACAGTTCGGAAATGTGATAAAACGATTTTTCGAACCTCCAAGGGAAACGAAAATTGGTCTGAAAAATCGGGTTGTTCGAGAAATCAGGGGTAAAATTACAGTGTTCGACTGCAATCGGGAGGTTTGAAAAATCGAATGCTTGAGAAATTGGCGTTCCACTGTGTAACAAAAGCATTCAGTTAACTACTAGTTTCTTTAAGCGACCACTCAGTCTATTTTCGTCGCAGCCATTATTTTGGATGGAGCGCTGCGTGATTTGCTGATGAACCAAACAACGACTGTGAAGACGATTAATTTAGTCTGAGTTTGCAAAAAGAGATAAACCAAAATACAAACGGTTTCTACCTGTCCTTGATGTACGTGCTGTTGCTGCATCAGCGCTGTCCGTCCTTTGGCTTCGTTGTTTTTCTTCATCCACTCCATCTGCAGAAGTCCTAGGTGTACTCTGAACCTCTAACCACTGTTCATGATCTATATCAGCCACACTTAGAAACTGCCTCCCTCTGGTCGTTTCAGGAATTTTCGGTGCACCAGGAGGGGTACCGCCACGCTCACTTCCTACATCGACTCCAAGTTGCCTCCCCCGGATAGAGACAGGGTGATCAGAAACAGTTTGGTCATAATCCACAGCAGTTTCAGGGGGGAGCCCTTCGGAGATCTCTACCATATCAACACCAACCTGCGTGTCTTGATCACGTTTGGGCATTTGAAGGTTAAGGAAAATGTCCGGTGGCAGAACTGGCGGGTGAGACGTCACGTGATCAGAATCAAAAGATTCTCTCTCCGTTTGAACGCCCGACGTTACCAGGTCTCTTCTCACTGGAGCTGGCTGCGCAGAAACCTGGTCAGT